GATGAATCACTGACTTCTGTCTTTTCTCTGGTACCTTCTGTACTAGTGTTTACTGAGATCAGTTCTTGAACTTTCACCTTTTCTTGGCTCTCCACTGTCTTCTCTTGAACTGATTTTTCTTGGGCTGGTTTTGTTATACTTTTACCTCGAAGTTCGACTTCATTATCTGCAGTCAGTGCATCGTTCCCCAGACTGTCCACTGACAGGTCACTGGTTTTGGTTTTTTCTTTGGTGTCTTCAGTACTTAGAGAGGTCTGGTCTTGAGTAACATCCATATTCTGGCTCTTCAGCATCTTCTCCTGACCTCCAGTTTTTACCATTTGTGGTTTCTGGTCTAATTTATCATCTGGATCTTTGACTGGTTTTGTTATGTTCTTATCCAGGTCTCCAACAATTATGGACTTTTGGTCTTCCTGGATGTTAGATTTAATGTCAGCATTCACAGCTTCAGTCGCACTCACCAAGCTATGCACTGACAAATCCTCTGTAGCTTCAGTGCTGGCAGCTTTTACTTCTTTAGTTGTATCTGATTTTAAAATATGTTTTTCTGATGTCTTCTTTGAGGCTTTCACCTCTGCAAGGTCCTGATTTAGATTAGCCTTTGTTGTAATGTCCTCACCTCGGTCTTTAGCAGCGACCGCCTTCTTGTTTTCTTGAGTCACGTTCAATAAAATCTTCTTTTCTTTATCAGCTTCAGCATCGAACGTGTTTTTGTCTTTTACTTCTGGAGTTCGTTTTCCTTTTACATCTCTGTCGCGTTTGTCGTCCAGACTTGTGTCTTCACCTCCGACTTCCTCATCTTTGGTCAGAAGCAGTTTGGATTCATTTTTCACTTCTGATGCTTTTGTTTTCTCGCCGCTGCTCTCTGTGTTTTCTTTCAAAGGCATCTCAGGCTGCTGTTTTGTAGTTTCATGGAGTATTGCGTGCTCCTCCCTCGTTTGTTCTTTCAGAGCGTTTGTAGCCCCTGTCTGTGTTTCTTCCTTGGATTCAGCTGATAAGCCTCTGTCCTCTGCTGACAGATGTGCTGATTTCTCTGAATTTGTAATGGGTCTTTCTGTGGTTCTGCCCTTGAGCGCCTCTTTGCAACTATTCTGTGACTCGGTGTTTTCCACTGCTGTGTCACTGAGCGTTTCATTTGGTTTTGAGCCTTTCCCTTCAGATCCTCCTGCGAGTAAAAGAGCCTCTTTGTGCATCTGATTTTCAACATTCTTGGACAATTCACCAACAGTCACAGCCTCTGTTTGAATGCCCAACCTCTCTGCTGGTTTCCTGCCACCCTCCTCTTTGCTTTTCTCCTCTACTTCAACATCTTTTGCTAAGGCCTTGTTTAATGTCAGGGACGTGTCCCTATCGTTTGTTAATTGATCCTCCCTTGATAAATCCTTTTGCTGCTCTGTACTGGCTGGTTTAGACTGATCTGAGTCATCCTTTGACATCAGTTTAGCAGGAAAACTGCTGCTGTTTATCTTTTGCTTGGAAGTGAATGCATTTATTTTATTAGCAGGGATACGTCCACGTATCTCCCTTTGAACGCTGTCACCCTCAGCGGGTTTGCTTGGCATGTCAGCTTCATCTTCAGGAGCTTGTTTTGTGTCGTGAGTTCGTGTTGCCGTGTTTTTATTCACGTTTCCTGTTAGCTTCAGTGTTTTCAGTGACGGGGATTTCGGTTCTCGTGTTGTGTTTTTATTTTGAATAACAGACGCATTTTCTGCTCGACTTCCATCAGTAACTTGAGACGGAATTTCTTTGTCGATCTCGCAGCTCGACTGCACCTCGGCTCCTGTGTCCGGAGCACTTCCTGTAATAACTGTGTCGCTGTTTTGCAACTGCTGGATGTTTGAAATGTCTTCAGTTGCTGTACTGGTTCCAGTGTCTTTTTCTTTCACTTTGGTTTCATCGGTGTGTTTTATAATACATTCCTCTCCCTCCGACTTGAATTTAAATGCGTCTTTACTGTCACGCTCATTTGCTGTGACGCTTTCAGGTGCTTTTACATCCGTCTCTGTCGATGTGTTGTGATTTGAGTCCTCAGAATTCCCACTTTGGGAACGTTGTCTGGGTTTTAGTTTATTGGAGCTTCTCTGGCCTCTTGTGGGAAGTTTGCTCACAGACGACGAAGTCTCAGGTGAATCTTTTGCAGCCATTTTTTGGTTCCATTTAAAGATTCTTGATGAGACGGTTTTCTCTTTGGTGGGAGGTGGAGAGATGCTGGAGGTCGGAGTATCTCTCTCACCGTGGATTCTTTTAGAAAAGGTTTTGGGTGGTTTCACTGGTGGGACACTTCCTGCTGGGAAAAACAAAAAACACAGACAAACAGGAAATTATGGATCTTATGATGGAGCAGAGACACCGCCAAAATAAAAAATAAACAGGTTAAAAGATTAGGAGTAAATACCAGTAACTGTATCAGAGCTTTACGGTGATATTTTTAACACAAAAATAACTTTGGGACAGGATAATGGAAAACTGTGTGTAATACATGCATGTCTATTATTAACTTTATATGTTTTATTTGATTGCATTTTATTGGCAATTATTCCATATTTAGGCAACTGTCTTTCAGATAATAATAACCTAAATATTTGGAGTTTTTCTGCAGAAACATCTGCAAACCAGATGTTTGTCCAGATCCAGCAGATGAAAAACAGTCTGTATTTTCATCCCTGTATGAAATGTTCATTATAAATGACCCCGCTTGTTCATTTTAGTTGCCCCTGGGTTTCATATGTCCTCCTTCACCCCCCCTCAAGTCGCCTGGTCCGACATGCTGTATTCGAGCTTTCTTACCTTTCTTTGGACTTTCGGGCAGCGCTGGCGGCGTCTCACTCCCAGGACTCTCGTCAGCTGTTGCATCTTTCTGCTCTCGACTTGTCTTCTGGACTGTTTTAGGTCTGTCCGAGTCCACCTGACCCGATGAAACCCTTCTATGGGTTATATCAACCTTCTTTCTTGTCGGAGATGAAACGGGCAGCCGGCTCTCCACATCGTTCTGCTGCTGTGTTTTTTTGACGTCCGGACTTTCCCCGTGTGGTGGGTGTCCACTTTTACTGCTTCTCTCCTCATTTTCCACGTCATTTAGCAAGATCACAGACTCAAAGTCCTCATCTGATTTGTCCTTGCTGAGTTTTGTTCCGGTCCTAGTTTTCGTGGGAGAAATGTTCCCCGACACCGATTTTCCTCCTTTGGTTTCCTCAAAGCTTGGTTTCCTTCCAGGTCTGGCTGCGGTTGTTGGAGATTTCAGAGTCTCTTTGGTCCTAGGTTGTTTTTGTAGTTTGGGCCCTGAGGTGTCCGGCGCCGATGTCTTATCTGGTGTCACTGGCGATTTCACGTCTGCGTCTGATGTTGATCTTTTGGGGATTTTAGACTTTGAACCCGCAGCACCGGAGGGAGCACGGGTTTGGTCTTTTAATGCTGGCAACATACCAACGGCTCGGTCTCTTTGTGTTGGATTATCACTGGAAGTTTCCACTTTTGTGCCCTCTGTGGAGCCCTTTGCCTTTGTTGGGACATTCTTGGCCTTGTTTGCAGCTGCAGAGGTCGGGGTCTTTGTTCCACCCGCCGTGGTATGCCGGCTTTCTGCTGCTCCTTTAACTCCTCGTTTCGGGGCTGCAGCCTGGTCGGCCGCTTGGCCTCTCGCTGCTGGTTCTGCAGCTGCTGGCTTCTTTTTGTACATGTCTGACGCTGCAGAAGTGTCATCGAAGTCTGAGGCCTCCAAGTCTGTTTTACCTTTAACTATGGCTTCTGGAGTAATTGCCTCAGAGGGTGAAGACTCGTCTTCTGGTGTGGGCAGATCGAGGGTTGTGTCCTTAAAATCAGCATCGTTGTTGTTTTGGAGGATCAGCCGTCTGTCAGAAAACACAGAAAATATTTAATGACGGCTCTAGACACACTTTATGTATCCACACAAGTGGATAGATCCTACGCTGTGAAAACCACCGAGTGTTATAGCAAAATAGATTCTGGCTTTGTAATACTGGTTCATTTTCTCACTGCACAAATTATATATAAAGCAATAAATAACCTGCTTCCTGACAATATTCTAAAAATGTTTTCTAAAAGGGAACAGGGATACAATCTGAGGGGGGAATTAAATTTAAAACATCCTCGTATCCGTACAACATTAAAAAGTTTTTGCATCTCTGTGTGTGGAGTGAAGCTGTGCAACAGACTAAGATATGAAGCAGAGCATGGCGCAGTTTAAAAAGCGGTTTAAGGATGTGGTTTTTACAGGGTACAGGGACGAGGTAGAGATTTGATAGGATGTTTTTGTCCAATATTTTCATGTGTGTGCGCGTGCACGGGTATGTTGGTGTGGGTATATATATCTGTAGGTTGTGTATCCTTTGAGGTGTTACTGGGGTTATTGAAAATGTGTATATGTGCGTATGTGTATATACGTATGTATGGATAGATAGAAACATATATGTATATATATATAAAAAAAATACACATGACATATAATGTAATTGGAAGGAGGTATTTCTGTAGTCTATTGATTACTAGATAGTGGAAAAGGGGTGGGATTAAATAATCTTATGCTTCTTCCTGCTCCTTTTTGAACATGAAAGTTATTTGTAGTTGTTGTTGCTCGTTTTCCCTTTGCTTTGTTCATTTGTCTCTTTTAATTCTATGTTGTTGTACTTTTTTAACATGTTCAAAATAAAGATTCAATCAAAATCAAATACTTTGTTGCATAAATGATAAAAAAAATGTTTGAAAAATAATTAAATGCAGCATATTTAGACCATGATTTGTGCCTTTGGAGGCCTAATTTTTGGCTTAATTTATGGCTAAATAACCAGAGAAGGAAAACATATCCTGGATATTACAGCCCCCCAGTGAAGTCACTGTTACAACTTGAATCCTCAGGGTCCTCAGATAGCTAATGCTAGCACTATTACAGTGAAGCACGAGTCCAAAGAAGAGTTTACTGCCAACTGGCTCCAAATCCACAGATCCAACGAGCTGCTGACGCAACAGACACGAGAAAGAACAAAGCAGCCATGAAGCAGAGAAAAGAAAAAGAGCAAAAATTACAGCAACACAAGACGAGGACAAAGGAAGACGTGGAGCTAAGCTCACGAGCCCTTCTCCCCTCCCAGAGTGGGTAAATCCACCTGACTGTCCAATACATGGATGGAATCTCTGAGCCTGACTGAGCTTCCACTTTTAAGACAGCAAATAAGAAAACTACTTTTAAAACTCTGTGTTGTCCTTAAAATTATAAATCAGACGCTTAGCAGGGAGATTTCGGCCGAACATCAGAGCAGCAGCTGTAAATGTTTTCCTCAGTTTACACCTGCACAACACGACCAAAGGGAAAAACTGCATCTGCGAGTCTTCATGTGAAATGTTCATGTTGTGTTTTCTGACCTGATTAAGTTCAAATATCACTCAAACCTTTTGTGTCTCGTCTCTAATCATGCCATAAAAATGCTTCACACATGCAGAGTTTCCACTGTTCTCCTGCACGATGACGGGAAACCTGGATGAGCCGTCTGTAAAACCACCTGCAGAATCAACCATGTGTAGAAACTTTAAGCACCGAGGCTGAGCGTTTCCACGGCGTCCTGAGGTCAAACATGAGAGCTGCTGGTTGTAATGACTAACTGGAGGTAGTGAATGAACACCAAAGGTTAACAGAACAGCTGACCTACATTTGATAAATCCAGTAAAGTGTCAGAAGCTTAAAGGTGTTTCTGAGTGGCTGGATGAATATTTCAGCGCCTCCCTGCAGGTTTTAGCCCCATTGTTCAGCTCTGGCACAAAGCACCATGGGAACTCGGAGCTCGGGTTGCATGCAGGCTGAGCTGTTTCTCTGGATCAAAGAGGCTGTAAAAGCAGAGGAAAATGAAAACAGACAGACACTCACGGTTTCGCCTCTGTTGTGTTTGAGCCCTTTGAAGTTGAGCCTTCGTCCACGCTCGGCTCGGGGCCGGTGTGCACCTCGGCAACAGCTTTGCTCTTCGAAGGCAGACTCACAGTCCTGCGTGTGACCCAGCTCGATCTCGTCCGGTGTCGCTCCTGAACCGGAGGAGAACTCCTTGTTGAGTCTGTGTCCGGCCCCTCCGGCTGCTCCGTGGGGGTCTGGACCTCCCCCACAGTCTGTGACAGGGAGGCGAGTGAGTGTGGCAGGCTGCCACTGAGCGCAGGAGTCTCTGAGGGGGTGGGAGGGCTCTCTGGTACTCCCTCATTCTCTGAGTCGTCCTCTGGAATTACTGTGACAGGTACGGCCAAAAGAGGAGGCGAGTCTGCTCTAAAGCCCTCCTCCTCCTTTTTCATTACACCCCTTTCTTTCTCCCACTCCACCTCCTCCTCCCCCAGGTGTGTCTCCACCCATATGGCTTTGTGGAACAGGACAGGAGACTCGCCTCGGGGTTTTTCCTCTCTCGTGGTTGCACTTTCCCCCGAGAGGCTGCTGGTGGATATTCGAGTGCTCGTCCTGGGTCCTCCTGAGTTTTCCCTCTTCAGGTCCGGAGGCTTTCCCTCCGGTTTGAGCAAAGTTATTCCTCTCAGCGCCGTGCTGTGGCCCTTCTCTCCAACCTTCACCGATGCTTTCTTTGATGCTAAGCTTATGGAGGTTAGGTTAGGAGACTTTGGGCACTCCACGGCCTTGGAAAGTGGGATCTGAAGTGACGTCAGTGTGGTCGGGCTGATGACCTCATCCTCGCTGCTGCTCTCTGGTCTCTTCAGTACTTTCTGTTCCAAATTCACCTGCAGCCGTTTGCTCACTTCCTCCACCACGGATTCAGCGAAGCCCACTTCTGACTTCAAACCGAGATCTGGCTCGGTGGCAGATGCAGGGTCTGTGGAAGTCATGATTGCATTCAGCTCCTTCACGCTCCCGGTGCTGTTGCTGTCTGCAAACGGCAGGTCTGCCTCTACGGTGACCTGCGAGGCCCTACTGGAGGCGCTCCGGCTCGAGCTCTGGCTCACAGTGTCGCCGTGCTCAGCATTGAACCCATTTTCTGGCTCAGATTGGGGCGAACGTGGCGACAAGGGGGATGCCGCGGAGCTGTCGGAGGTGCTCGAATGATTCCGGCTGCTGCTCTTCTTCCTCTTGGAGCTGAAGAAGTTGGTTAAACGGCCGAACACCGATTTCTTCTCCTCCGAACTCTAAAAAGAAAAGAGGACAGGCAGGAAAGATGAACACTGAGATGTAAGACTGCATTAATAATGAAATCTGCTGTACTTCCTCTGAGGTTGAGCTGCATCGTGCGCTCTGCCTGTCCTGGACTCCTTTAAACACAAACACAGTCTGGGCCTAAAGTTTTCCCACCACCATCACCTCGTTTTTCCTTTTCATCTATTTTTATACATTTGGATCATTTTTGAAGTTCAAGGAAATCCCCTGAAAACAGATCCTGTTCTATAATCAGAGCCAAGAAAAAGAAAGAACAGTCTGCAGGTTGTTTGGCTCCAAGTAAAAACTGAAGCTTTAAATGTTTGTCGATGCTCGAGAAGACAAGAAGGAGCGAGTGTTTGTCAGAAGCTCCAACTAATCACCTGCTGAGCAGCAGGAACTACAACATGGCAGCCAGAGAGGAGGCGGCGACGGAGTGACATCATCAAAAACAAACAGCAGCCATTCTTTGGAAATAAATGTAAAGTAACTGTCGCAGCAGGATTAACAGACTGACTTTGATATTTCTGCAGAAGCACTAAACCGAGCTCTTGACTTTCTCTACATGATTACATGCAGTTAGACTTTAAATGTATTTCTGTATTTTTCCCGTGTGAGAACACTGATGGATGTGTTTGTTCATACGTGTGTGTATAAATCAAACAGCTGATTCTTTCATCCTGATGCTTTAATAAGTGAAAATCAGACTCAGACTCAGATTCATCTCTCAGTCGAGACGAGACGAGACGGCTTTTCTGTAGAAATGAAAACTGGCAGGTGTCTTCATCGACATACCTTTGAGTCACAGACGAGAATACCTGAAAGATTTTCTAGATAAATATTCTTTCTCACTTAGTCAGAAACGCAAATCGTTGGAATTTACCTTCCTTTAAAGGTGCGACTGCAATCAATAAGAATTCTTTCAATTTCAGCTGAAAACATGTTTTATCATTTGGACAGAATATGATCCTGATACACAGACGCAGGTAAAAACAGATCTTTCATAAACTGACTGGTTTTAAGCAGCCAGTTATCCCACATGAGCTTAGAAAATGTAGAAACTAAAATCATCAACGGAAACGTTTCAGATTTGGTTGATCTTATCAGCGTCACTCACAAACACATGGATGGACCGGCTGAGTGACTCTGAACAGGAACAGCTCTCTGTGAGGTGAGCTGTACACGGCCACGCTGTGAACACAAGCTCTTATAACAGCTTATCGTCACCTCACTTTCATTTATCACTCATGTTTAAAACAACATTTTGTTACATTTTAACCACCTGAGCTCCTTTACTTTGGATATTTGTCCTATTTTGAGCTTATTTACTTTGCTTATACCAAAAGTCGGGAAATATGGGAATGTCAAACAAAAGCATCGTTAAAGCAAATCCTTTATTCTCTCTTATTATGAAATATTTTTGACCATTTTTTGTGTAAAGAGTGAAAAGCTGAACCAAACTAAACGCAGACACCCTCAGTGAATGACGCACAGCAGTAAAACTGAATGACTAACTCACTTTTATTCCCACAGCTCACAGATTCAAACGGCTCAGAAAAAACCCGGAAAACAAACATGGAATATCGGAGCAGGTGAAAGAGCAGCAGAGACGTCCACAGTCAGGTTTGAAGCCCGGACTGCTCATAATGCAAAACCAAAGCAGGCTGTTGTCACAAGAAACAAAGAGCACATGTTAGAACAAGAAGCAGCTACGCACCATTCTGACTTCCTGGAGTCCAAACTGCAGAAATCCAAGTTCTGTGTCAGAGTTGGTCCCAAAAATCACACAAAACTGACCGAGAACCGACGACTAATCACACCTTGTAGAAGAATTCAAACCCTTAAAGCTTCCTGCTCCTCAGGCAGCACTGACTGCCTCTACCTGAGCGTGTCACGGCTCTGAGACGTGGGCTTTGCCTCCTACATCACAGTAAAAAAACAATATTGTGAAAGCCAGCTGGAATTCTCAATCCAGTAAAAATGAGAGGGTGTGGACGAGGCTGGCGGAGAGCAGCACACCCTTCCTCATTCTGAAGCGTGTGTGTGAATGGGACGCCTGTTATCTGCTGCCGGCTTCACGAACAAATCATTTAGGTCTCAGTCTGGTGTAGAGGAACCACACGGCTGTGACAGAGGAGCCATTTCAACACCCTCACTGTGCTTTCCAGCATTTCCATATTTTCACTGAGCAAACAGCAGCTCAGGCTCAGTTTTTCCAGTTCATATCCAAACAGAAACAAACCACGGAAAACAAAGTGGAAGCGCGGCTACTTTACCTGCTTTAAGGGCCTGAAATCCAGAGCGTGTCAAAACCCAGAGGGATTACTCTCCTTCCACTTTTGCCCGCCATGTATTAGTCCTCCACCTACCGCTGCCCTTCAGCAGGACAATGTCAGGTAGGTGGGGACTGAGCTCATATCAGTGTGAATTACACCCCCCGTCCTTATCTCTGAGACTGCAATAAAAACACGCGGGAAAGATAACGGAGATCAAAATGAAAGAGCGCAGGACGCCGAGCTTCAGCTTTCACACACGAGCTCATTAAAGCTGAACTGCAGCATCGTTTCACACACTACATATGAAAAGCCTTAGAAATTACATTATACTGTATGTAATATGAATCTTATACGTTTTACCCAACGTCATTTATTTACTGAGGGTTTTATTGTAGTAATTTTGGCATTTTATGTCCCCCGTAGGTTTCTGGTCCTCCCACAGACACAAAGAGCACAGAGGACGGGTTTGGCAGGTTTCTGTTTATGGGAAGTAGCTCCAGGCCAATAGGATCCAACAGGATTATATGCATGTTAAAGGAGAAGCACGTTGTTACAGTAACTGTTTTATAAAACTATGTCCACAAACAACATTCTTCATATTCTTTATTTTTCTGTAATAAAATATTTGTCCGGACTGACATCGGGAAAATGATCTACGGAGGAACAAAGTCCCAACTTAATGAATGTGTCATTAAATGCAACAATCAGAGCTGAGTAATATCTGCATTTATTCGAGGATTTTAGCATGTTTGGTCTTCCACAGTAATGAACACATATCCCACTGTGTTTTTGTCACTTCCTGTTTGACTGAGAACATGAAGTCATCAGTTTACTGATCAGAGGGTGAAACACCAGGTCAGATTAATCGCGTCAAGGTTAAACTCAGAGTTGCTTCCTGGCTTAATCACCATGGTAACTGATACTGAACACATCACTAAGTCGGGAGCAGGCTATGATCAGAATTTTAAAATTGGACTTCCACAGAGCGCCGAGCGCCGTTTGCTGCTTCCATGAAGATAAAATCATAGGACATCTGACCGCCTAACACGGCTAATGCAGCTGATCTGCTCCGGATGCACTTCTGATCCATTTCTTCCGCTTCGCGCGTCTGAACTTGCCGTTTTTATGTTTCTAAAGTCTCAAACTTTCTGACGTCCTGCAGATTTTTAAAGAAAACAGTGTCTAACAAAGAAGTGCTGCACAGGTAGATTTGGAGGAAATGTGGCTCGCAGAGCCGTCAGTGCTGCCGTCTATTAAACCAACTGTGACGGTTTATAAATACGATGACACGGTCAGCTGGCAGCAAACATGACGGCTCATGAAACAATAATGTGATCAATCAGCTGATCGAGTCACATAAACTCTGAACCATCTCATCTTCATGTTTCTGTTTATTTAAAAAGGACTATGAATAGACTTAAGTTCAGTGTGTAAATACGTCAGATTTAGCCACTAATTTTCATCTAAATCACAGTTTTCAAACTCAAAATAAGAACCAGGCCTCAAGAAATCAAAAACTGAGTAACTGGACCAGTAAAGTAATGCAAACCGAGCTGGAGCTGAAGCTGACGACACATAATCTCCTCTCTGCTTTCATCTGGACCTCATGGACGCAGCGCCTGACAAACAAACCAGAAAATCTCAAAACAGCTAAAAATAAAAGTGTAAACGTGTAGAAGATCACTCTCCTGTGAGAGACGGCAGAGCTCCTACTGATCTGACTCACAGATGTAGATCACCAGGATGTTCCACATGTTCTAACTGATGAGACAAAAACACTAAACACTAAAACCTTCATCGCAGCTCTGAAGCCTCTCCGAGCTCAAACGACACAGAGAGGAATAACTGATGATCCAAAGGAAGCAACAAGAACAAAACTCTGACCTATGAGCCGACAGCTGATCAATATCACCCAGAATCCGAGTGATGGTCAGCAGCTAAGAGTTTGTGCACTCAGAGTTCAATAAAGACGTGAAGATAAATTCATTTTGTGTATTTGTTTAATATTGATCTGTTCTCCTCTCAGGGAGGAATAGAAGCTGCTCTGACGTTCTGCATCTGTAATCTCTGAGGATTAACTCAGACCCACCTTGGAGTGTTTGGAGGGCGACATCGGGCTCCCCGGCGCCGCGTTCATGTCGAAGCTGATCATGGACGTCCAGTCGGACACGGTCTGGTAGCTGAACTCTGTGGAAACGCTCATCTGGTCGGGGTCGAGGCTCCTGGTGCACAGAGGCAGGAAACAGAGGGGAGAGGATGTTATGTCACCGACCTTTGTTTCTGCTCTCATTGTGCTTGCTTGTGTGTGTGTGTGTGTGTGTGTGTGTGTTCATTAAAACACACACTTCACAACAGAAAAACACAACAACATCCCAGGAGATGAACCACTAAGCAAAGCACATCCTCAAATCCTCCAATCTGAACCCCAAACTCAGCAGTTAGCTGAAGTCCACACAAACATGCAGCAGTGATAGAAACACCACCACGTCCTGCTGTCCTCCACCTAAAACACACAGCTGTGCACAGCAGCTGCACTTTCTCTCTCTCCCATTATCACGTGTAAGATTTCCAATCACTCTGAAAAATGATGGACTTTAAAAACATGAAGGATTAAAATTA